ACACACACACACACACACACACACACACACACACACACGCGCCCCTGCCCCTCCCCCCACCACATATACACAGAAAGCCAACCTAGGAGAGGAGTAAGAGTGAGCTACAACCAGCAAGGTTTACTTTGAAGCTTGAGACAAAGAAACCTTCTCTTAAGGGAGGAGACTATGCTAATTAATTGATCAATTAGTCAATTAATTAAGTAACTAGGGCGAAAGTAATGGAAATAAACCTTAAATGCCATCCCTGGTAACACCTCATTTCCCTTTTTAGGGTGTATCAGAAACGGGACTTTGCATTTCTAATTTCAATTGGAATAGTTTTAAAAAAAATAAACTGCTACCAAAAGTAATAAAAACAAATGACACGAAGCATCATGTAGTTACTTACCTTTTGTTGCAGTTCTCAGAATTGTTATGTCTGTGTACAGAGAAGAACAAGAAGGTAAAAACTCCTTCTTTAGCACCATGGCTTCAATCCGAAGAGAATAGCTGAAAAAATAAAAAGTACAACTGTAGAATCTGATGTCATAAATTGAAAAACCTCACTCGGCTTTTAAAGAACAATGATCGTTGATCCTTACTTTGGCACCTGAATTAAGTAGTGCAGAAAGGATTCCGCCAGAGACAGCTTGGACACATCTCCACTAAATGTTTTTAATTTCTTTATCTAAAAGGCAAACGGAAAAGGGGGTAGAAAAAAAAATAACTTATGATTAAAATGGAACATGATTTTCAATTTCATCTTAGAATTCCTGTAAGAAAATAGGATTTCAGTGCCAAATTCAAACTAGTAAAAATGCAGACCTAATAAAAGACAGAAGAGGAAATCACCACATGCACCACTTTGTCTATTAAAAGGAGAAACACCAAACAAACAGCTGAGAGACGCACCGCGTCACACCTCACGACCCCATACAAGCCAGAGAGCTGAGTCACTGGAACCCACGACTGAAAAAGGGGTGTTCTAAAGAGGAAAATTTCCTGTAAGTTATAACTGGGAAGGGGACATTGTTTGGGAGAAGAAAGAAGGGACTGAGGAGTCATTACAACACGATCCCTTAAGTCATCGATGGAAAAAAATCATTTTTGAGTATTTTAAATATGAAATACTTAGAATGGGTAAGGTCTAATGCAGATCTTCTTCCTCGAGTCAAGTTCCCTTCACATATGGTCGCTTTCTAGGAAGTGACTATTGTACGTTGAGGTGTGTACACTTTAGCTCTCCAATCGGAAGATAAAAAGTAAAAAGGTTTAAACAACTCGAAGATCAATGTCAAGACATCCCCCTATGAAAAAAATCAGGTAATGAAACAGTATGTACAGTAGGATCCCATTTCTATAGTTTTTTTGGTAAAAAAGTATCAACTACCACTCCCCTCTCGATTCCCCATGCACAGGCTATACAGACACAGGAAAAACACCCCACCAGCACCAGGTGTCAGGATTACAGTGATGATTATTTTCTTCTGCTGCTCATTTTTATTTTCTAAAATGTCTACAATGCACATGTATTCCACTTATAAAAAATTAAACTAAGTTATTAAACATGCAAATATTCCTTCAACTCTAGCAAAGGAAAAAAAAAGTTCTGACATTAGGAATATAGCCAAATAGCTAGCAGGTAGGGATGGAGGTGATGAGAAAGTGCTCAAACTATATCAGAGAGCAAATCAAGCCTTTCCCATGCAGAAAACTGGACCAACCCAATGACAGAGACATTTCTCCAGCCGCTGTAACAGTCTTCCAATAAAAATACGCCACGGTGAGTAGCACCTTACGTCGACCAGGCAAGCAGACTGCCTCTCTTTGCAGTTAGCGGTTGCCTAGGTGCACTTACTGCCCTTTATTATTCTTCATAAAGCTTTCTCTTTTCCACCCCACTGGATTATGTTGGCTGCCCAGAAAAACAGCATGATTTTTAAGCCTCTTGAAAAATAGGAAATGGCAGCTTGAAAACACAGAGGAGGGAGTATTTGAAGTTCCACAAACTGAAATATCTACATCAATTACCTGAAAAGACAAAATGCAACAGTGCAGAGATGCACCCTAGTATTAAGTCTAGTCTTTAAGACTACAGTTTTCCTTCCAATATAGAATTGCATTATTTCCCCTAACTTTAGGGCCTCAAAGTGAATTTACCATTTTTAGCTTCACTAAACGGCACCGCTGGTTTAGCTAAAGCCAAATCAGCGCTTAGTTTCTGAACTGAGAAAGCTGTGGGATGAATTCTGATCCCTTCTGAACTAGAGCCTCACAATTCACTATATATGGGCAGGGGCAGAGTGAGGTTGTACCCTCTGTAAGACCATATATGTAGCATGTGCAAAACTGCTGAAAAGAGCACCGTTTTCTGTCTAAAGCATGAGAACAGGTCATGCTAAGTAAACTTGGTAGATACATCTATTAAACATGTGCTAAACTGTAACTGAACAAGGATTAATCTCCTTCACTTATGTAAAGAGCTAAAAATGTTTAGATTTCAAGAGAATGGAGATGAAAAGATAGTATTTAATTTAAATACCACGTATACAGTTCTTAATTCCATTTCAAAATGGGATTTACGTTCATTAAGAGGGATTACTGTGCCATCACAGTGGTAGGCAGGTAAAAAAAAGAGAGGTGAGCCAACCCTGTAATTATTATGCATTCTCATCATCATCTAAAAGCATTTATCAAACCTGGTTAGGCGTAATTTTGTTGGCTGAGCCAAGTGACTCTCATTATGACCTGGCTGTGCCCGGTTCTGTCCTAATGGCAGACAGCATGCTCCTTAAGACTCACACATTCCAAAGGGCAGGCCTCCTTCATCCCATCTAATTCCACTCACATGGCCTTGAAATAGCAGGGTTTCCCACCCACAAACCCATCCAACAGAAGACCCCTCCCGGTTGCTCCCCTCCCAGGAACATAGTAAACAAAAACGGTAGGAGGAGCAAGGCGATAAAATGTCAGAGGTGGGAATTCAACCTGCCTCCACAGAGAACAGCACATTTCTACCACCTTCCAGCCCTGTATCACCTGAGAGGTGATAGGGTACCGGCCCCGTCAGGGGGAAGGTCTGGCAGGCTGAGTGGGGGTCCCTTCCAGCACCCCCTTGGCTCCTACTCCAGTCTCCTCTCACTCAGCACACAGGAATACTTTGTTGGACAGAGAGCCTACTCCGCTCCAGTTCTTTTATTTCTGGGTCTACCTTCTTCCTCTGAAAGTTTTAACCCCGGGTTTGAGGCAAGATGAACAAACATGCCAGATAAAAGATTTGTGGTGAAAGGCAGAGGAATCCTGAAAACAAATTAACCTTGGGTTGGCTTGTCAGCTGGAGAGTGAAAAGGGCTCTTTCCGTTCATATTTTTCCGCGTGCTGATAAGATCACAGTATCATTCGGGTGACATTTACACCAGTACTCCGTGATAGCAGAGGTGATGAACAGGCTGGGAGGCCCTCTGAGAGCCTCTTCTGAGTTTTGAGAACCTCTGCCCTTCCTTTCTTCCTTCCTTCCTCAAAGGGAGGTGGCGGAGTGCAGCAAAAGGAACTGCTCTGGGGTCAGACAAACCAGGGTTCCAATCCACCTTCCTCTCCGGCCTATGAACCATGTGCCCCTAGGCCCGTTCTGTCTAACCTGTGTGAGCCTCAGTTTCTCACTTGTAAAACTAGAAATATCTTTTCATGTTGCTGTGAGGGTTATGAAAAAGACACACAAAATACTTAAGAGTAATGATTTACTGACTTTCTATGTGCCAGGCCCTGGACCAAGCACTTGAAATTCACGATCCAGCGTGGCTGAATTTTGCCCTGTTCAGTGCCTGGAACATGGGGACAACTCGATAAAGGTTTAGGGCCGCCTTGTGCTAAAAATGAGCACGGAACATTGAACCTCAGGCTTAGCCACATGCAGCTACGTATCCACGTATGTATTTATTAGCATATTTCTGCCACATACCTAAACCTCTCTCACTTGGCCTCATCTCCAATCTCCACCAAAAACTCTAGGAGCAGCACTGGGTCTGGGTGGTGCCAGAGGCCACAGAGCTCTCATGACAAAGCCAATCTGGCCTTATAAAGGGCATGGGCCAGGAGGTGGCTTTGGCTGTTGCCGGTCTCCCTCTGCCAGCACAGGTCCCCCTGAGTGGTTTAGGGAGGGGCGCCAAGCGGCCCTGGGGACTGGCAGCTGTTCCTGCTGAAGGAAGCACCCAGTAGAGTCTGAAGGGTGTGGTGAGCTGAAGCCAAGAGTCAGTGATGTAAACAAGGAGAAGTGTGACAAAGCTGGTCAGCTATTCAGACGGAGGAGGACCCTGCAACAGGAGGGTGACGGGAGAAACAGCTGGGCCTGGTTCAGTGGCTGGGAAGGCATTTTAGGGTCCCGAGGCTGTTTCATGTCAGCAGGACACTGCCTCTGGGTTAGCTAACTGTCTGGGCCTGACAGAGTGCCTTGGGGACTCAGGGCAGTGCTGGGTGGGTTTTATTCACCTTGCCCTTAACTTTCTTCCCTTTCATTTATATCCCACACACAACTCAAAAAACAGAGTTCTTCAAAACATGAGCGGTTTGACAGCTAAGGTGCTTCTTTGAAAAATCCCTTAGTCTTCCACAACCTTTGCATTTTCTAATCACCTTTGCATTTTCAATTAGAAATTTAAAAAACCATATTTAACCTCCCACCTCCTCACATGGCACGAAGCCGGCAGCCTCCCTTATGCCTAACTTCCATTTAGAAACGCAGAGCTTTTCAGAGCACTGTCACATCTGCTATCAAATTTGATCCTCACGTGAAAAGAACGGTAAGGTACGTTAGGAGTGGATACCAGACAGGTCTAAGGGAAGTCATGAAAAAAGCCCAAGCAGGAATAAGAGTTTGAGAACAACTATTATACATCTTTTTTAAAAAACTCAAATTAATTCAGTCATATTCATTCTAATTTAAAGACTTTGGAACTCGCATTCTTTACATAAAAGAAAGATTAAGGAGTGTTCAGCATATAAGATCTGGGTAAATTATAATTTTCATGTTCCTTTCCCTCCACACTTTAAGACCCTTTTACTCACATTAATGAATGCTGTTAATTAATCTTGGCTAAGGTAAATTACACTTAATTTGCAAACAGAAAACCCAAGGTAGACAGGGCCTCTCAGGTTATTAGATGTACCTAGACTATCTAGTTAACCCACGAAGACCCTCAATTTAGCACTGTGAGTTTATCACTGATGCAAAAGTACAAATATATTTCTCCCATTATCATTAATGGCACGAAAGTCAAAGTTCCATAAATTACTCGTATGTGTGGGAAGGGGAGTAAATGAGGTAGGGAGGAACCGGCACTCTGGGTAAAAGGGTAACTTATACTTTTTACTTTATAAGACTCTACTTTATTCAAATGTTTAGAAGCACAGATATTCATGTAATTTCTTACAGAACGTTTTCAAGGGTCAGTTCTTCAGAAATAAAAAACAATATCACAATTTTGCAAGATTTTATAAGATTGTTTTTGTTTTTTCCTATCACGCTCCTAACCATTAAAAAAAATTCAGTTAACCCAGTTCAAGAAAAAAAATTAGTATTTTTATATTGTGGTACTATATTGCTATCACAGCACTCTCTACATTTTAGTTAGTTATTTAGACAACATTTATTAACAATTGACCTACCGCTCCATATTTTTAGAGCATCTTTATCCAAAAGTGGTTGTTTTATCTTTTTTTAAAGTATATGTATTATAAAACAACCAAGGTACATCCTAGACGAAGGTCATCATTAGATGACAGAAAATGGAACTAAAATTTATTGAGCTCCCCACGCGCCAAGCACCATGTTAGATGTATAACTATGGTTTACTCATCTTGACTATCCAATGAGGTAAGCATCATATCTCACTTTATAGGTGAGAAAACTAAAGGTCACAGGAGTTAAGAAACTGGCCCAAGTCTCTCATTTAAAAAAAGTTTCTCAATGGAGGGTCGAGTACTAATTTAAATCTAGATTCTCTAACTCCAATAACCCATACTCTTTCTACTGCGTCACTTCTTATTTTTACATGACAAAACTCTGGCTCTGGGTCGGAGAGTGCCTTTCCCATGTGAGTTCTGACATTCCTAATCACGCCTAACATCTAAAACTCACGTGCCAAATTCCTTACCTCCTCTGACTCTGGCAAAAGCTTAAGGAATTCTCTCAATGTCTCTGATCCGTAATGCTCAGTCTTTCCTTGATGAATATCTTCTACAATGGACTGAGGAGACCTTGAAAAGACAATCAGATTCCATTTCACGTTTGCTGGAGTGCCAAAGAAACACAAGCCAGTGGAAATTAAAACAAATCACCTCCACCCTCTTTTCCATCCCACCTTCTTCCCAGTCTAACAGGCGGTTTTGTGTCAGTGATCACCACAGCTCTACTGCTGTGGAAAGCAGGGATCCTGACATACCACTCGGAGGCCTTCCCCTTCACCTAGAAATCCATGCCTGAGGCATCCCAGGAAGGTCAGTATGGCAACCACCACGGGAGTCTTCTTGCGGGGAGGGGGGGGGGGGGGGGACAATCCTCTTTGGTCTCATGGAACTCCTGCAAAGTCTTCCCTACTTTAGGACACTTGAACTTAACTATGCAAGGGGCAACACTACAGATAAATTTATAAATTCCCTGGCATGACAGGCTTGAATAGACACCCTGGGGCAATTCTCCCTATACTTCAAGCCCCTAGATTAGGTTTTCATTAAGGAAAACAGAAGCAAGTGACACATGCTTGTGGACTCATCAAAGCCATGCATGTGTCTAAAAGGATTTGAAGGTATGAGAAATGACTTCCTCTCATATTAGAATCTGAATTTTAGCTCACACCCAGGCTCTGATGCTGACAGCATGGATATGACTAAAGTTTCAATTGTACGCAAAATCTTACTTCTTAAATTGCTTAAGAAATATCCCAATGTTCATGCTCCGTTTTGCATCCAAGACAGTGATCTGGAAAAAAAGACACACATAATTAAAGTACAAATAAGAAGAACTGGAGAAAAAAAATTAAAGTCTATAAAAACACAACACTAATTTATAAGAGTAATTCCCAACATACCTAATATTGATATACCTAATAGAGTCTTATACACAGTAAAATATTATCATCTCCCCAAGCTTTCTGCAGTGATATATTTCCTTAACTGCAATAATTATACATATCTATTTTAATATTCTATAATTTTAAGTAAATTATATATATTTAATTTTTTTTAATTTAGCAGTTTTCTCTTAGAATAATATAGTCCACATCTAAAAGCTCCAATTTGGAAAAATGTCTTAGCATAGTAAGAATCATATGACCTTTGAACTGAGAGAGTAAAAAATAACTCTGAAGTGATTTCAGAGTGAGTCCCAATCCTGATTTAGGGATATAAAAGGACCAATACTGTTATTTCAGGAACATAATGGAATTCTTACGTTTTTTTTCTAAAAGAAAAATTTTTTTTCATTGAAAAAGAATATATATGTCCAAAAGGTCTTTTGGGAGAAGGTAAGACAGTGCCCTATATTTTATTTATTCAGAATTTAAAAAGGAAAACTCTTCTGCTACATTTCCCCAAGTCTAAGACGCGTATTTTTTCACAATTTTAATGTCTTTGGCATCAGAATGTATCTTACAATGGATGGCATCTTTGATTTAATGAACTCTGGTGGCTACTCCAATGTACCATCGAAACCCAGATTTTGGCTCCTGTAAGTTTTAGCTGTTCAAAATTCATAATTTAGAAGAGTTTTATCAGACTAGAAATGAGAACGTTTTTGCTGGCAGGGGAAGTAGGGGGCAGGGGATGAAATACTGAAGCCATTTCTTTCTCTGGAAGTAAATATCCAGGATGTGTGGAGGAAAGATAACCTGACAAGGCGGCCATTTTTTCCACTTGTTTTTTGGTAACAGGAGGCTAGCTAACATAGAAATGTTGTTATAACGCTCTTCCTTTCCAAATGTATGTGATTCATTGTGATCAAAAGAGAATCAGGTTTCAGATTAAATTCCTGATCTCTGGGCCTGCTTCTAAGTTTATACGAAACAGCAAGGCTGTTAACCAAAGCTAATGGCACTTCCTGGCTATAAGGTTAAATTTTTACAAGAGTCTGGTTGCCTTCGTTTGAAGACTAATCTTAAACAATCACATTATTTACTATCCTAGGGGTTTATTTCATGTTAACACAATCATCTGCCAACCATAAAATAAACTCCCAGTTAAAAGGGCCAGCTCCTTATTGGAATCCTACCCTGGGGTTGTAGTTCAAGTTCAGTGTGAAGGGAGAGGAAGAAGGGGGAAAGAAAGGGTGAGAAAAATAACCTGTCAAACGTATCACCCTTTAAGAAGGAAAGCTCATACCAAAACGAGGAATCTAAACGTATTAAGACAGACAACTATGTGTTTATTACAATTCATAAATTAAAAAAGCAAGTAAGAACATGCATATTGATACAGAGGCATACACATCCGAAGAACTTTCTCTGCACTCATTTCTGCCCAGAATGGGGGAAATATCTTCTTTTATGTTTCTTTCATTAAATGACCACCTCCTGCTATATTTAACCCTTGAGGGTAGCACCCTCCCCTGCCCCCAAGACCCCAAACGCCACCCTCATCATCTTCACCCTTCAACCCTCTGGGACTCTATATACTTAGCCTAGATCCATAGCTATTGCTGCTGGAAAAGCGGTTGGAGACATTACTCTTGTTATTACTATTTGCCAGATAAGGAGCCGGAGCCTCACAGTTGTCATTTTATAACTTCCCCAAAGCAATGCTAGACCTGAAATGCTAGCCTGGGTCTCTCTTGTTCCTTTCAGTCCTGGGAGTTTTAGTATCACAGAGCGTACAGGAATATAGAGAAGTGGCAAATATGCCCCCACCAGCCTGGTGTTCACACTGGGGTGTTTCTCTAGGAATGGGGACCGATCTGTAGAAAGCCATCTGCAGGGCCTGGTCAAGTGCCCTGCTGATCCCAGGGTGGGGTGATGGATAGAAATCATGTCCTCACCAGCTAAGACAGCCTCCAGGAGTGGAAGGCCTGGGCCTTAGGCTGTCTCCACAGCTTGAAACAAGGCTTCAGAAACCGGTCACTAAAAGAACCCAGCAGTATTCCTAAGGAAAAACCCGAGCTGGCCATGCCTGAGCACCTAACAGGAAAAACAGCCCAGCGCCTCATCCAAACAACAGGAAAAGGAGACAACTGATAACCTTCCAGGGACCATCCCCCTCTCTGCTGGCAGCCTGATTTGCCCAGTGCATGAGCAGTCTCTTTCTCATAGGTTATCGCACTGGATCCTTCTAAAGCAGTGTTATAAAAGTGTTTGTTAAAGTCCTTCAAAGAGGGTTATCACTCCACATGTAAATTAGCTTATCTGATTTCCCAAATGCTTGCCAGCTCAGTTCTGGGCAGTTCAGAAACGCATGCGTGGAGGACCGTGGTGTTTTGGAATCAGTCAGAGCAGTGGACTCTGCACGTGGGCTCCTTTTCAGACTCCCAGGCTCCACAGGCTGAGACAAATCGGCCAAGAAAGGGGATGAAGCGACCTGGCCCCTCCCTCTCTACCAGTTCCAATCAATCCGTATCTACTTTTCTGGATGCCGCAGGACATGTAGGCAGGACATGTATACCTGCAACGGCAGGTACAGCCAGCATACTACAGAGCTCATGAGCGTTCCCACGAAGGCCCACAAAGCCATTCCTGGCCAACAGGAGAGCGAAAATTAAGGTGGTAATGCACTCAACTCATTTGATCCAGAGGATATCCCACCAGGATGAGGGGGACCTGCTATAATAAGGGCTCCCCACAGATGGCCAGGGTGGCAAAGGGTTGTTCTGATACCCTCGGAAGCACTGAGAGCATACTAGCTACTCAATAAACAGGTGTGAATGGCTACACCACCCATCCTGTTAGGACCTCTAAGTAAGCTCTCCTAGTTTTTCCTACTACAATTCTTGTATTTTCATCTAGTATTAGTTCACTACAAAATTTGCCTCCTTTCTTCCCTGAGAGAAGAAACTTGTTTTCTAGTTGTAGTAAAATGCCCATAACAATGTTTACATCTTAACCATTTTTAAGTGCATAGTTTTGTAGCATTAAATACATTCACGTGTGTAATCATCACCACCATCCATCCACAGAACTCTACATCTTGCAAAACTGAAACTGTGCCCATTAAACAATAGCTCCCCATTTCCCCTCCCCCTACCCCTAGCAACCATCATTCTGTTTTACCTTCTGTCCCTATGAATTTGACTACTCTGGGTACCTCGTATAAGTGGAATCATAATATTTGTCCTTTTGTGACTGGTTTATTTCACTTATTTTAAAGCCCTCAGAAAAATTTTAAACCACTTTTGTTTCAGTATGTCAAATGGGGCTTCCTTACGTAACCCTAAGTAGTGGTTATTTCAATCC